AAAAAAAAAAAAAAAAAAGATGCTCACCCTACAGTATGCAAATCAAAGCAACCAGCTACTGACTCACCTACAAGCAGCAACGACCTGGAAACCAGGCACCACCAATGCTCCGCGGTGCGGGGCAGACCGCTCCCGCGCAGGAAGGCAGCCGGCAGCGTCTCCCCGCGCCAACCGTACTCCTGCCACGCGACTCCCTGGTACTTACCCGAAGGAGTCGAAAACATGTCCGCACTTAGCCCGGCATGGGAGTTCACGGCAGTTTTATTTGTGACTGCCAAAGGCTGGACCTGGTGTCGCCAGCCGGCGAGCAGCACAGGACTGGCACACCCAGCTAATGGAGTGTGCTACTCAGAGCTGAACACAAACGAGCTGTGGAGACAGGCAGAAGGCCTGAAAGCGCCTTCCAGGGAAAGACTGACGCGAAACACTAGATGCGGTGAGATTCCAGACAGATGACATGCCAGGAGTCGAAGCTACAGAGAAGGTGAGACATCACTGCCAACGAGCGCTCGAGGGGCGGCGGCGGGCGGCGAGAACACGCGGCTGCCCCCGCAGGGAGACTGCCGCCCGCCCCCGCGGCACCGCTGGCAGGGCGCTGGAAGCACGGAGGCCGGTGACTTCCCAGGGACGCTCGGCCTGTCCGTACCTGGCACTCCTCCAGCCTCCGCCGCCTTCTTGACTTTCTGCTGGTCGTCCCACCGGAGCTCAGAGAACCCATCGACCTCGGCGTCAGGGTGCCGGAGAGTGTGTCCGACCTTCCAGAAGCAGGAGAAGTGGTACCAGTGCGGGACTTTTCCATCGAACATGGGCGACTGCAGGGAGGCAAACGGGCAGCTGACTTTGGGCTCGGCTTCCTCCCGGCTCACAGCTAGGCACACGGGGCCACCGCTCCCCTGTGCCGGGGCCAGCCTTGCCGGGCCCTCCCCAGTCCACGCCCTCCCCGCTGCCCTGCCCCCCCGCACAGCCGGGCCCAGCCGGGGCGCCTTCTCCCTGTAAGCTGCTGCACCCCAGACACAGGACAGGCGCGCCCGGCCTACCGCGTCTGGGGGAGAACGGGGAGAGCACGGCTTCAGCGAGACCCAGAAAGGTGTCTAAGTGCCTCCGCAGTGATGACACCAAGCGAATGGGCAGCACAGAAGATATGAGCCAGTGTGAAAAGTCTGCGACGTCATGAAGCGGTCAAAGTGATCTCAGGGCGGCCGCCACGGCCCCTGTGGTCAGACTGCCCACCTGCCCCAGGCCCCAGGGTTTCCTTCTGTGGAGCTGGGGAGTCGGCCTGCGGGAAGGGGGTCTCCTCTCCGGGTGACCTGCTTTCCCGTGATGCCGCCAGTCGGGTCGGGGCGCACACGGAGGTGTCGCACTTTCACTGTGGCAGTGCCAGGCTCGCGCTCCCAGGCCAGCACTGCCTGGGTTAGAGGGCGGGGCGGGGCTGGGCAAGAGGCTTCCCAGGCCATCACGGTCACCTCACAAGGGCTGTAGGTGGGAGCCCCTTCTCACAGGTGTGTGTGTGGATGGGGGGCCCCCCCCCCCGGCAGTGAACCAGCAGCAGCCTGAGCACCTGCAAAGCCTGGAGGGCACTCAAGTATCCAATTCTGGAGAGGAGGAACTGGATGTTAGTTTCCCCCAAAACCTGCAACAAATGGCATTCCAAGAGCAGAGAGTGAAAGTCTGACTCTCAGACTTTTACCTGCAAGGCTCTGACCTTTGTCTGGTACAGCTTATGCAAGAAGCCACTGCGGCTCGTAACAGAGGGGTCCCCAGGAAAAGGGGGGTCCAGGTTCTCTGTCCCACCCAGAGGAGGAAGGAAGCAGGATGGGCCAGGAGACCAGACATACACGGAGGAGCGGCTGTTTCTTGGCCCTGGACGGGGTGACACAGGTGTGGGGAGGGGGGAAACCCGCGGGGGGTGACAATGACCGCATTTATCTAGAATTTGATGTTGCTCCCTTCCCTCCAGACTTGTCTGGCCATTTCTGATCCTTTTCTATGGAAAATAAAGCACCCCCGGAAGGTGCTTTATTTAGACCGTGTCGGGCTCTAGGGCCTAGCTCTGGACCAACCCCTTTTGGGGACGGGTGACTTAGAAACTACATACTTGGGTCTTTTCTGTACTGTACACTCACTGTATTAAAGTTCCTTTCCATGGAAGGTCTTATATGTTTTGACTTGATGCAGTGGATGGCAAAACCTACTTAAGAGCAGGCAGATTTGGGGGTTCAGGGGTGCTGGCGTGGTACAGGGCTCGTGGGAGGTGCTACCCAAGATGTACTCACAGCACAAGCTTGGGAGGCTGTATGTGTGGCTGGATCCCCTCCACTTTGCAAGCAAAAACCTCCCAGACTTAAAAACTGAAGTGGAGTTAATTCCCATTTCAGTCTCTCCTGAGTCCGCCTCATGGTAACCCTAACTGGCTCCACCTGCAGTGCTGGGACCGTGGAAGTTTGTATTCCATCGCCAATAAAATTCTGTCTCCCTCAAGGGTTCACAGTGACACCAGAAACACCTGCTGAGTGCTGAGCAAAACCCTCTTGGGGGAAGTCAACACCTCACCTCAACTTGTATCACCAGAACTCCGGCACCCCGGGGCCCGGGGACACAAACCTCTGCTCTTCCCTCACCCCCACCCTGTAGCTCTCCCACCATGCAGGCAGCTTTTTTTTTTTTTTGGGGGGGCGGCTGCCCTATGAGTATCTAGATGATGGCATGGCGAATAAACTCCTCCATGTGAATACATTTCCTGGGGTTCTGAGTTTGGTTTTCTGGGTGTGAACAAAAACACCCTTTTTGGTCATTAATATAAAGACCCCAAGAGGAAAAATCCTTGATCAAAACAAGGCTTCGCCGCAGAACCAAGGCTAAGGTGGCAGAAGGACAGACCCAGATCTGAGGACTCCCCAGAGGAGCCAGGCCTGGCAACAGCGCCCCTCCCCCACGGGCCCAGGGTGACAGTTGCCGGCTAAGTGATTCCACTCACCAGAGTCTCCACCCCCAACACACACACTGGCACGCCCCCCAGTCAGTCAGCCCCAGGGCCCGCCAGGCATCAGGTAGTCAGTCAGAGAACAATCCTCCCATACAAATGTAAAAGAAGACATTTACATCCAGGCGAGAAGAAAGGCGTCTTTCTCGGGCTCCGGGACTCGGCCCACCAACCAGCTTTACATCCCAGTTACAATTAGAGAAAAACCACTTTCCCTTTAATAATAAAGAATTTCTTTCACCACCACGTTTCTGAACGAGGGCCCAGAACGTTACATTTTACTTGCTTCAGGACGGCCCCTCCTGGGGGCTGTTCCTGGCTCTCCCAGACAGCTACCCCCCCTACCCCCCAGGTCTCCACCAGGGAGGGGCTCAAGCTTTGTCCTGACTCGGTCCTCCCAGGCTGGCTCAAGCCTCTGGACGTCCCTTGTTGGAATAACACTTCAAAATGCCTAAGAACACAGAGTGGCAAAGGCGCCACCCACGCTGGAATATCAAAACTACACACCCGCAGGGACAGTGCACCCCGCCCTTCAAAGCATCTAGCAACCAGAGCTAACTCCCCGCTAACAGCACCGTGATGTGAGTTGGTGATGTGAGCTGGCGACCTGCGCAGTGGTATTTTGAGAATTCCCAACAACCTAAAGTGGTAGGGAGAGTCACTACTCTTGGGTAGCCTGGGTTCCACCTGCACCCAGACCCGAGGTTAAGAAACCTGCACCCAGGACGGAACTTCGAAAGCCCAGGCAGCTCCCACATTCAGGGTGAACCAGACTTTGGTGCCCACCCTCATCGACTTCTGGAGGCCTCCAGCGAGCTCCGTCAGGAGGGGTCCCCGGCTGTACAGCGGCCCATCTCGTCACCCAAAAAGAAAAGGCCCCAAGGGCGAGTCTCTCTGTGGCCCTCCGACCTAACACCGACGCCAGGAAACTCAAGTGCCCTGTGGTCACTGACCAAGTGTGCCAGGGACTGAGGAGTGCGGGCCCCTGAGGGCACAAGATGACGGTACCCTCAGGGTATGATGCGATGAACCTCAGCACCCTTGAAGCTTGGTCCCCCCCACCCCTCCCAAGCACTCGACACCCAGCAAGGGCTACGAGGCTATTCCCAAAACACCACCGCTGCAGCGCAGGGAGGAAAAACCAAGTGAACCCGGGCATCAGCACTGGAAACTGTGGGCGCCCGGGAGGTCAGGGACCCCTGGGCCCCGGCTGGGACCCGCACACCCACCGCCCCAACCCGCCCTCCGCATCCGGGCCGGCAGCCTGCAAGCTCAGGGGCACAGCAGGGGGCTCCCCGCCCTCACTCGGTCGACAGTCAGAAGCCACCCCGGGGAATGGAATCCGTGGCCACCCCCACCTCGTCGGCTCCCACCGGAGCGCTGCAGACTTGCCGGGACCC